TAATTAAAAAAATAAACGTGGCTGAAAATTGTTGGGGCTACCCTACGGTTGGTTTCTGATTGCCTCATTCCCGAAACTCCAACCCCCTAGATGGTGCTTTTATAGGACAAGGTCTCCAGTCACAAGCTCAACAGAACAACAGGACTAGCTTCACAGCCTGACTCTGCCCCTTGCTGTGTTCCTAACTTCATGGAGCCTCAGTTTCTCCATCTGTGAAATGCAAACAGGCAGACTAACCTGGAGTGAAGACCCCTAATGGCAAGGGACAGAGGAAGTGAAACTGTCTCACTGCCACAGTAGCAGTGAGACTGTGTCAGGTTACCCTCAGACACTACTGTCTGGGGAACAGAAGACTGGCTTTCCTCTCCTGGCCCAGCTTGCCCCAGGCATACTGTCTATGCTCCGTGGGGCCAGGCATTTGAGGACCCCATTCCTGTTGAAATTCTGCCTCTGCCCTGGGCAGACTCAGCTCTGCCTTCTGCTCCAGCACAGCTGACGTGTGAAAAGCAACAGCTTTTGAGCCCCCTAACTTGGGTTGCACACGCCCGGGCACAGGCTGGTGGTGCACGCGGCCCTCAGCCCACGCGACTTTCTGTCACCTCCTTTGCTACCATCTCCCTTCCTGTGCTTTCAAAGGCCAGCCCCTCGGCCAGCCCCTCAGCCAGCCCCTCAGCCAGCCTGTCCAGGTGGGCTGCAGGCCTGGAAATGAGAAAGGCAATAGTCCCTAAGGGATTCTGGAGTAGGAGCCTTGGTATGTGTGCGCCTGAGAATAAGGTGTCGGGCTGACACCTGCTACTGTGTCAACAACAACAAGCTACTGTTGGTCCTCACTGTGGTATCTACAGACCAAGGGCTTCAGTATATCCAAGGGGTACTTCTTTTGGTTCTTGGCAGTTCTAGGGTATGCGTAGGCCAGAGGGTGTGAAGGTGGCATCCCATTTTACAGAGGCAGGAACCACCTGCCTCTGTTCAGATGGTTGGAGGGGGCTCCACTGAGCTAGCAGGGAGACATTAGTTGGCAAGCAGAGCAGGGTGAACCAAGAAGGGGCTGCCGTTGCCCTCCTGACCAGGAAAGGGCTGTTACTGGCAGCTGAGCCTTGGGGATACAGTGGTAGTTTGGTGTGATGACACAAGGCCCGGTTATGCCTATTGAAGTCCCAGCCCCCAAGGCGCTCAGCTGAGCCCAGGCAAAGGCAGCAGCAAGGATTTAGTAAGTTAACTCTAAGGAAGTCTGTCTGGGGCCAGACTGGATTGAGGGGCCTGCAGCTCTCTAAGTGAGTGGGCAAGGAGGATGTCAAAGGGGAAGTGACTTTTGGCTGGCCTAGAGTTTGCATGGCAGAAGTACAGGGTAACCAAAGCATGGCTCCCATTGAGGCCTCTGCAGAGAACAGAAAGCATGAGGTAAGCAGGGGGTATTTCAGGAAGGGAATGTGATACAGTGAAGGGTTCGAGCGCCTGCCTAGCTAGACAGTTCCTGCCAGCTGAGGACAGGCTATGTGCATCCTGAACCCTGTCTGGAATCAGAGAAGGTGCCCAGATTTGATCCGCAGTACCACATAAAACCAGGCGTGGGCACATTACCTGTAATTCTAACATTCTAGAGGTAGAGGCAGGAGAATCAGAAACTTAAGATCTCAACACAGAGTTTGAGACCAGCCTGAGATACAGCGACTGTATAACCAAATGATGATGATGATGATGAAGGCAGCATGTGCATTTTAAGAACAAGTTTGCATTTTTAGCAAGAGGAACTCTCAGAATGGGCAATATTTAACCCAGAGGCCTGAATCATCACTAGGAAAATGTGGCCATGGTAAGGGAGGAGGCAGAGAAAGAGGCCCCGTAGAGCTACCTACCAAATTCATTCCCACAAAGGGTACTCCTGGGAACCCCTTTCACAGTCACCTGGAGCCTGGAACCCCTTCACACCTGCTGGGTCCTGGTACCCTTTCACACCTGCCTGGGTAGGGGCAGCAGAGCTTCTGCTGGAGTGGGTGTGGCCTGCCCTGGAAGTCCTCAGGGTCTGGGAGGCAGAGTACTGACCCCACCACAGTTTAGTCCTTAGGGGCCACTCTGGGCATGGAAGGGGGACACTGAGGAGGTGCTCTACAGCCACCCTGCCCCAGGCCAGGAAGTGGCCAGGCCTCCCCCTCCTAAGACATTTCCTTCAGATGAAATCACAGCCCCAGCAGGGGAACAGGCCCCCATTGTGATGGGCTGGGGTCTCCAAAGAAAGGACGTCTTTCAGGCTCATAAAAATAGAAGCCTTAGGGTTTGTGACTCTGTACAGGGATGCCTCCCCCCGCCCCCCCCATCCTGTGACCTGGTGGTGACCAGCTGAAGATTCTACTGCCTGGCCTGGGAGGGCAGCTGGGCTGCCAGGGGTTCACACGCATTCCCTCGTCCCTCCACCCACACCGATGTGCTCTGGCATTCGTCCAGCACTGTGAGGGTTCTGCAGACCTTCTCTCTTGGGATCCTGGCTGGAACTTTAAGAGGGGAAGCACACTCAGCATTTCACAGATGAGGAAACTGAGGTACAACGAGTAAGTTACACAGTTGGCTGGTGGATGCTGGGCCTGGACCTACCGAGTCTAGGATCTCGTTGTGTTAGCTGCCCTGGGCAGAAGCTAGAAGGGACGTTGAAGGGGTATGGAACCCTAATGCCAATAAGAGGACATGTGTGGGGTCAACCCTCCAAAACTGCCACACTGTAGGAAGGCCCTGGTACTTACCACAGCTGTTAGCCATGGTCTGATCATCCCCTCACTCCCAAGCAGAGCAGAGGTGTGATTGATCCTATTGTCCTAACGTCGGCATGGTTTTGTAGTCATGGCTACAAGACCTGGGGTCAGTCTTTGCTCACTTTTCCAATCTGTGAGCTGGAGATGGCCTGTGGGCAAGGTAGGGGTCAGGACAGGGTTCTAAGTGCAAGTACCGGGGTGCTGGGTGCGTGGTGAGCTACAGCGTTAGCCTTTTTGCACTTCTTGAGGATGGGAAAGAGGTAGCCAGTGTGACTGAGGAAGGGCCGTGTTCTGCTTGAGAAGGAGATGCACTGGGTTGCTGGCAGGAGCAGGACAGAGAGCAGTCTGGATAGGCAGGACCCTCCCTGAGCAGCCTCTCATGGCAAGCATGGCACTGCATCTCCTCCGGCCTGATGAGGGTGAAATGCAGAGTTTTAGCAGGTGATGGCTCTGTATCAGCCTCACCTCCCTAAATGCATTATGTGTGTGTGTGTGTGGTGGCTGAGTGAGTGTGTGTAGGGTCCCACCTCTAGCTTCCCACTCTGCGAACCACCTGCAGACAGGGAGGGAACAGGTACACCAGCCATAGGCAGCTCTGCCTGCCCCAGCCTTGCTGCCACCCATGATGCCCCAGGTCCCTCCCATCCCATTACTCCAAAGCCTAAAGCTGTGCCCTGGGGTGCTTGTCCCAGATTTTGATCCAGTCCTAGGCCTCTGTCCACAGTAGACCTCCCCACCCCCAAGCCACCCCAGCAGCAGCTGCTTCTTCACTCCACATCCTTCTCCTGCTTCCCACATGCTGCTTGACTCCTCCTTGAGAGTGGGATGATGTCACTTCCTGAGGAGGACTAGGCACGACCCCAGCAGCCTAGCCTAGCCGCTGCTCAGGCAGCCAGCTCTGCTTCTGGGCACCCCTTAGGAGCATGCAGTGGCTGCTCCTACGAGCTAAGACCAGCAGAGGATGGCCCAACATGACACACTGCCCAGCCACTTGGCCCCATGTCCCTTCATCCACTGTCAGTGCTGTGCTCACTGGTCTAGAAAGGCTTGGCTGGTGCTTTCCCTAGTGAGTCCACACACACCCGTTTTCCTTGGAACTGTCTCTAGGGAAAGAAAAACCTGCTGCCCATCCCAGGACCAGGTGCCATGTAAGCTTCTGCTGGCCCGGGTGGGCAGCTGACCTCTAGCCTTCTGTGGCAGAGGTTCTTTTCTGCACAGGGCACACGGAGCTGCCCTGGAGAAAGTCCTGGGTCTCTGCTTAGATTAGCCTTCTACCTGTGCTACCACTTTTCTCTCCCATCTCCAAAGGAGGCCCCCAATTCCTGTCTACTCCTGAGCTTATTGGTGGCTGGTTTGGATCCAGCTACTTCAGAGAAGTAGGCATCAAGCAGTGAAAGCTGCCAGGCCAAGGGTGAGTGAGTTAGAGCAGCTGCTATTCTCACAGTGAGGGGCAGATGTCCCTAGCCACAGTCCTAACCCATAGCCTTCTACCATAGCCTTCCTTGTCCAGAACCATGACAGTGCCTGGGAGTTTTGTAAGATGGGTGTGAAACAGTCATGCCACACTCACCGCTCAGTGGGCTCTAGTGAACAAGAAACCAAAGCCCTCACTGTGCAAAGACCTACCAAGAACTACTGCATGCTGGGCATCCCACCCTTAGTCCTAGCCACCACCACTCACAGACTCCTCTCCCAGTCTTCCCAAGCCTTCAGTGTTCCTCCCGCTCTGCAGTGCTTTGTGCTAAGGGACACTTGTTGTTGGTTTTAGAAGCTTTGGCCCAGAACTGTGAGTATGGATCAGATTTCCTGTGGAAAGACAGGCTACTGGGGACTGAACATCCCATTGATCCTATGTAGGGGGAAAGTGAAAGTGAACTCAGGGTCTTTTGTCTCTTTTTTTGGGGGGCGGACTCAGGCTAGCCTCAAAATCTGTTCCTTCTGCCCTCATCTCCCAAGTGCTGGAATTTCAGGTAGGCCAACCAGAGCCTAGGTCTTCAGTGAAGCTGAGCAGTTACTATGGGAATGATGTTAGCCAGTGGCTATCTGGTGGTAAGCAGGAGTGGCCTCAGGCGACAGGCGTCTCAAGGCCTTTGCTGTAAGAGGACTTGAGAGGGCAGGGGCAGCTTCTACCTGGGTCAACATCTCTAGTGCCTGGAGGTCCACTGGCCATGGGTGGGGATGGTTGCCAACACCCAAGATGTCTCACCATACCTGATAGTAGTCCAGACTGCTCCAGGGTCCTCTTCTTGCTTTCAGGAGGTGAGTGCCAGGCCCGCTGAGCCTCCCTGAGCTGCCAGCCATGCCCGGGATCGTGGTGTTCCGGCGGCGCTGGTCTGTGGGCAGCGATGACCTCGTCCTGCCAGCCATCTTCCTCTTCCTCCTGCACACCACCTGGTAAGTGTCAGAGCTGAGGCCACAGCCCTGGGTTTGAGGAGAAAGGTCTGGAAGGAAGCTTTCCAGCTACTTGTTTATCCAAACCAGGCCCAAACCTGATCCTGTCCTGCTCCCAGGCCCTCCTCCAGGTAGTCCTGCAGGATTCAGGAGGCCCTTTCTGCCAGCGGTCCTCCTGACCTGGCCATGGGCATATAGCTGCTGCTGCCTCCCCATGCTGACAGCAGGGCACCTCGCCACCCAAAGCCAGGTGGACAGTGTTCTGGTTGCGGAGACACCTGTCTTCTGAGCTATACCAGGCCTGCCAGGTAGGGGCAGCACAAGGCACAGAGGCAGCCCAGCCTTGTTCACCCGTACCGTACCGTTCTGCAGGTTTGTGATCCTGTCCGTGGTGCTCTTTGGCCTGGTCTATAACCCACACGAGGCCTGCTCCCTGAACCTGGTGGACCACGGCCGTGGCTACCTGGGCATCCTTCTGAGCTGCATGATTGCTGAGATGGCCATCATTTGGCTGAGCATGCGCGGGGGCATTCTCTACACAGAACCCCGAGACTCCATGCAGTACGTGCTCTACGTGCGCCTGGGTAAGGGACCCCTACTGAGGGCTGGGACTGTTCTAGAGCCCCACACCCTTCTCCTGCACTCATTCACTTCCTTGGGTGTCAGTTATTAATACGAACTAAGAGCCAAACCCTGAGGAGCAGGACCTTACTTGTCTGACATTCTAGACCCAAGGGCCCAGTCCAGCCCACCAGCTCTAATGAATCTTTTCATCAGAGAACACACCCACTTATTTATGTGTTTTTTTCTTGGGTTTTGGTACCATAATGGCACCTGAGAAATTGCTTGGTGGGTGGCCACGGAGTCTAAAATGCTTGCCCTCTTGGTCTTTCATAGACAAACTTAGTTGACCCCTATTTGAAACTGTGAGCTTGTCTGCAAAATGCATTAGCGATTCTTCTGAAACATCAGGAAAACCCTGAAGCCAGGCTGAGCCAGCTCCCCAGAGGAGCAGCCTATATCTCTTTTGGGCCATGTCCCAGAAGCCTCTGGTGCATTCCCAGCATGCACTTCTCTCAATCTTCTTCACAGATCATGGGGAGGAAAGTGTTAGCTTTCCTGGACACTGGGGCCCAGGAAGACTAATTAGCTCTTTCAAGATTACACAGCAAAGTCAAGATAGAAGAGTCAGAGCTGGGATTTGAACCCCTGCTGCTGTCTAGCTCTCTGGTCTAGGCTCTTAGGTGCTGTACTCTGCTGGCTCTGCCAGGCTGTTGTATTTCCTTCCCACTGGGGCTCTGGGCTTAGTACACTGATGGACTGAGTGTGTGGCCACTGTGGGTTGCCTCCCGGGACTCCTCTCATCCCTGTACTCCACCGAACCAAGTTCCTTAGACTCTTCTGAGAAACAACAGTTGTCTTCTAGTCTTCAGTGTTTTGTGTCGAAGTTATTGGTACTCTTAAATATGGATGAGGAAATAAAGGCTCATAGAGATTAGGTAACTTGCCTAAAATGAGTCTGATTCCAGAGCTCATGCATGCAACTCTGAAATCCTAAAGAAGCTAGGAAGTACTTCTTCCCTGTTCATCTGTCCAGGGAGGCAATGGGGACTTGAGAGCACAATGCAAGGGGCCAGGCTAGGGCTCTGTGCTCCCCTGCTGTGAGTTACTTTAGAGGCCTGGGAGCCTACTTTAGAGCAGGAGCCAGGCTTACGTTCTTGGGCCCTTCCCTAGTTGCAGACAGTGGCCTGCAGCTTTGGGTCAGAATCCGCCTCTTCTTGCAGCCATTTTGGTGATCGAGTTCATCTACGCTATCGTGGGCATCGTCTGGCTCACACAGTACTACACCTCCTGCAATGACCTCACTGCCAAGAACGTCACCCTCGGTATGCACCCCACCTGCCCCATCAGCTGAAGCCAGCCCTGGGGGTGGAGGTAATAGGGCCCAGCTTGCAGAGGAAGGGGCTCAGGCACCCAAGCATGGTTACTTCCTTCACCAGGAGGAGACACAGCAGACATACACCAGCAGCAGACACACAGAACTGCGCAGGCAGCATTAGGGCTTCTCATCACCTTCTCTAAGGCCCACTCTAGGCCTGCTCTGTGCCATGAGTGGGCCTCAAAGACCACGGCCTTCTGAGTCCTTGCTCTTGGGTCTTAGAAACAGTTGGGGACATAGATGCTACAGTGGCCTTTGTTAAGAGCTCATGTCCCAAGAAGACGGACACAGTACCAGCTCTTTCTTCTCATTGCTGCTGCCAACAGGGATGGTTGTCTGCAACTGGGTGGTCATCCTCAGCGTCTGCATCACTGTCCTCTGTGTCTTTGACCCCACGGGCCGAACCTTCGTCAAGCTGAGAGCCACCAAGAGGAGGCAGCGCAACCTGCGGACCTACAACCTACGGTCAGTCGGCTGGGTAGGCGGGTGGTGAGCCTTGCAGGCTGGTGAGCAGGGGAGGGTCCTGCCCCCTCCCAAATCACACATCAACCTCACGTGAGCCACAGCTCCTTGTGAATGCCTCGGTCGGTCTCACTGACCCAGTTCCTTCCCTGAAAAGGTTAGACTAGGCTGGGGGCACACACCTTTAATCCTAGCACTCATACTAATGAGGCAGAGGCATTTGGATCAGTTCAAGGCCATCCGAGTGTACACAGAGTGTTTGAGGCCAGCCAGAGCTACACAGTGAGATCCTGTCAAGACGAAACAAAACAAAAAAAGTAAGAGTAGCAGTTGCTGGCTCAGGATGTCATCGTGAGATTTAAGTGAGATAATATATGCCAAGTGGTTAACACTATGGGCAAGGGCTGAGTTAATGGAAAACCACTGTCAGCAGCAGCAGCAGGACTCCTACTCAGTTATGGTTACAGCAGAAGACACAAACATTGTTCAGAGTGAGTTACAACCCATGTCCTTCCTGTAATGGGAAGGGGGGGGTGGAGAGCTTGTGTGGTAAGTAAGGCTGGTAACTAGCTCTCAGCCTGATTATAACCACTTAACCACTAGGTGAGGCTGCCTCTAGGTCTCAGAGGCTGTAAGAAGTTAATCAAGGAAGGCTTCCTGGAGGAGATTTCACCTGGTGTTTAGAAGAAACGGCATGTCAGAGAAAATGAGCGTCCAGTGTGTCCATAGTGACTTCTTTATTGAAAGCAAGGGATGTTCCTAGGATGAGTCACAGTGACCCCTATAATGGGGATTCTCCTGGAAGGCAAGCCCGGTGCTTAGCCAGCCCTTTTGCTATCCCAGAGCAGCTGTGAGAAGCCCTTCTACAGATGAGGGATCTGAGTCACTGCCCCAAGCCACAGTGGTGGGTGTGGAAGTGGCCTCCATCTCCAGCTCAGTGGAGCAGGCTGCCAAGACCCCTGCCCAGCAGGCCTGTCCCCCACCCCCACTCATGCCTCAGACCTTCCACGTCAGCCCATCAACTTGTCACTGCCTCCAGAACCACACCCATGCCTGGTCTGGCCACCTCCCAGCCTGAAATGTCAGGACTTGGAGCCAGGGCTCCGGAGCCCATTTTTCCCTCCCAGAGCAGCTGGCCACCGCCCCCTGGCCCACTTTGCTGTTCTGAGCACACGCTGCACCCGACCTGTTTCTTGGCTCCCGGGCCCTGGAGAAAAGCATCCTTCCTTTCCTGACTCTGGGTGATTGCCTTTGGGGCTCCCGGCAGGAGCCTGTACAGCAGGGCCTGGGGCTTGCTGTCATTTTAATTAGGAAGCTCCCTGTGGTTTCCAGACCCTGTCGGAGGCCACAGCTCATGGGCCCTTGACCTGTGATGGTTTCTCCAGGTCTCTTTCGAGGAGGCAGGAAAGCGCCGTCTGCCTGCAGGGCTTTGTCACACTGACTACCTGCCTGCCTGTCCTCCCCTGGCTTTAAAACTAACAGTTTTTCTAACAGGGACATTCTTCAAGCTATCAACTCCCAAGGGCAGGGACACACACACCCTGGCTAGTCACATGGTTTCTGAAAGCCAGGAGTGTGTCTGAGTTTTGGTCCTTTCTCTTTCCAGTGAAATCTGGTGGGGACTGGGGGAGGGTGTTATTCCCCGCTGTTTCCCAGGAGGCCTGACCTTGGGTTTTTGTAAAAGGAATGTCTGCCCCCACCTCCTTCCACGTAGAGCCTCCCAACAGAGAGCTGCTGGGGTCCATGAACTTTCTGTCCAGACTTGATATGTGTCTCCCTGGTGTGGTCAGTAGCCCCACCAGTGGTTGCACAAACCTGTCAGCTTCTCAGACATCCCTACAATCATCTGCCCCCTGGAGGTCATGAGGAGTACTGCTCAGTGGAGTGAGCGCTTCCATCTGGCCAGTGGCTGAGGAGGAAATTTCTCATCCTGCATTTGAAAGCCCTTTTGGATCAGAAAGCAAAAAGTATGTGATGCCCCGAGAACCCAGCTTCACTCTCTCGTCATCAAGCCCCCCGAGTAGTGGGGCATTGGTTTGGGATGCAAGGATGCTCCATTTTCTAGGGACTGCAGGTCCTCCGACAGCTGGTCTCTTACATCATCCCTATCCCCTCCTGCTGTCTTCCTTTTGGTCAGCTGCCTATGTATCCAGGGTTAAAGGAATTGGGAGCAGTTCCTGGCTGCATAGAGGAGCCAGGAAGCTCTTCAAGAGCCAGTCTGTCATTCCTGATGACTGTTAAGGGACTTAAATGCATCTGAGTGCCGCCTTGTCTTTTGCCCCTGACCCAGTGACAGGCATTTAAGAGTGGAGAATATTGCTCAAAACCCAGCCAGCCTCTTCTGGCTTCCTTTGGAGATTCACGTGGATCCACGTGTTTGATATCAGAGCTATTTTCTTTCCTTTTTTTTTTTTTTTTTTTTTTTGGTTGGTTGATTGGTTCTTGTTTTTGTGTTTTAGTGCAGCCCTGGCTGTCCTGGAACTTGCTCTGTAGACCAGGCTGGCCTCAAACTCAGAGATCCCCCTGCCTCTGCCTCCCAAGTGCTGGGATTAAAGGCGTGTGCGCCACCACCTGCAATATCAGGGCTATTATCTCTGTCTTAAAATACACCGGCTTCCTGGTGCTCAGCATGAAAGTGCCTTTGTTGGAAAGTAGCCTGTTGTTCTCTGCTCCCTGACTCCTGAGCTGAGGATGGAGAAGAGAAGGGACAGGGGAGGGGCAACCATGCAGGCAGTGTACCTGCCCTACCCAGACAGCAGCTGTGAGAAACTGGAAAGTGTGGGGTCTTACCCAGTCCCCAATTTCCTATAAGTACTTAATACATGAGTTTCTGAAGTCTTTTGCTAGGAAAGGCAGCGAGGACACATCTGGCTGATATCTCTACTGCTCTTTGTTTAAACCTTTAGACACCTGGCTGTAGAGTAGCCCTTACTTTGGATTCCCAACTTTGAAGTCCGCAGTCATGCCAATGAGTCAGTCTACTAAAAGTCAGAGACCACCCCACTCCGCAACAGTTCACCAGGTTGTCAAGCAAGAGTCTCCAGGAAACACCCTGGCTGGCTGACAACTGGGTCAGTGGCCACCCAGCTGTAGCTAGCCTGCTGCCTCCTCCCCAGGCCCACTGGGGAGTTCTTTGCTCTGTCCTGGGAACAAGCTGTCCTATTCCCCTAACATCTGGTGAGCCCCCTGGCCTCACACATGTCCACCTTCACAGGCACCGTTTAGAGGAGGGTCAGGCCACCAGCTGGTCCCGCCGTCTCAAAGTGTTCCTCTGTTGCACCCGGACAAAGGATTCCCAGTCAGTAAGTACCCTGGGATGCTTGCCCCAGGTCCTCTCTGCCATGTGCATGCGCCTTACACTACTCTGGTAATGTTTGGAGGCGGGGCACTGTGAGCAGGGTGACAGCCTACCTGTGGGACTGTCTGCCCTTTCACTGACTGCCCCACCCTGCAAAGCAGCCATCCACCTGCTTTGTTGAGGAAGAAAGGTGTGGTGACTGATTTGACAGCATTGAAACATAGTTTAGTTTAGAAGAAAAGTAGCATGTGGCCAGCAGTGGATGCATCTGGAAGGCCGGGGGTGCTGTTGAGTGCTTAGCCCGGGGCTGGGTAACACATGGTCAGCCTTCATCTCTGGCGCCCTGAGAAGTGGGCAGACCCATAGTGTTGAGGAGCAAGCCCAGCAGAAGGTGTCTCTGAGCAGGAAGGGCAGGCAGGTTAGAGGTAATCCAGCCCTGCCCCTCATTGTGCAGGTCAGTCAGTTGAGACCCAGAGAGACAGGGTCAGTACCAGAGCTAGAGAAGTCAGGAGACCACTCCTCCCTGGGGCAGACAGCAGAGTGCCCACCTCAGACGTCTGGGGGAAGCCTGGAGTGTCCCCTTCTAACAGCACCCCCTAGGGACCTTAGCCTGAGTAAGCTAGTAGAAGGAATGCCCGGTGTTCCCTGGCAGGTAGAGAGTACCTCACAGGGCTGTCTAGGTTTGCCTGCGAGATCTTGGTCCAGGCCTAGCTGCCATGCAGAGAGCAGGGAGTGGAAACTGGAGGTGGAAACTAGGCTTGCCTGGGTTTCTGAAGGGCATACTCTTCTCCTGCGTACAACGCAGGGTAGGGTTTGCTGTGAGAAGATAGTGGAAAGGTCACGTGTGTCCAGAGCATGGTCCTATTAGACACAGACAGCCCAGGGGTAGATCCCATCAGAGTGGTTTTCATCAGCTTGACTGTGTTGCTAAAAAATTATACTTGAATGCCAGTCTTTGAAAAAAAAAATTGACAGCGTTTACGTAAATGCCTGTGTGTCCAAACCTGGCACCCTGAGCTGGGCAGCTGGAGCTGAGCAGTATTCGGCTTTGTGTGGCACCTTAGAGGTTTGAGCTTGCAACCATTGGCTTTTCTCTCCTATCTTGCCCGGAACTTAAGGGTGAGACCCAGTGAGATAGATTCAGTTGCCATGAGTTTGCTTCCACCATGCCCTCTCCTGATAGGTTCAAGGCAACAAAAGGCAGGGGAGACCTAGGACCCACAACTAGCAGGGCCTGCCTCCGTCCTTTCCTTTCTACCCAAGGCCCAGGGCCAGCTCAAAGCCAGCAAAGCTACCCACTGTGAAACTGTACTTCTTCTCAAGCACATTACAGGGGCCTCTGAGCTGAGGCCTCTGAGAAGCAGGGGAATCTTGAGATCTGAAAAGCTTACAGAGCCCTTAGCAAGACTCCAGGGTCACAGCTGATGGGGCAAGGGCAGCCAGATGCCTTGTGTGGCTCCTCTGCTGGAGAAGGGCTGCCTGGGCCTTGATTGTGGGTATCTAGAGAAAGATGTAATGGCTCAGGCTGGAACCTGTGAGCTGTGGGACCTCAGTGGAGAGAAGAGGCCTGGGAGGTAGGGGGAGGGTCAACAGCTAAGATGGTGAAGGCCAGGAATCCAGAACAGGGTACCCAGGTTCCTACTGCACAGAGGCGTTGCCTGAGGGCAAAGCTGGCCAGTGCTGTGGAGGTTTCTGGTGAACCTGCCCTGGGTATTCACTCATGGTCTCACCTTTCTCCTGCTGCCCTGCCACCGCCTCCTGCCTTCCCGGGCCTTGCTTGACAGGATGCCTACTCAGAAATTGCCTACCTCTTTGCTGAATTTTTCCGTGACCTCGACATCGTGCCCTCCGACATCATTGCTGGTTTGGTGCTGCTTAGGCAGCGGCAGCGAGCCAAGCGTAATGCGGTGCTGGATGAGGTGAGTCCCCTTCGCTCTCCTGTGGGCCCCTGCGGCTGATCCTGTGGCATCCTCTCTCCATGGGCCCCCAGGCCACCGTTTACTGCTCATCGCCCTCCACTCTCCTAGCTCAAGCCTTCAGCCAGCCATTCCACTGACTCCCAGTGGGGTGACTTGTTCTCTGGATCATATGTGGCCACTTCTGAGGCCAGCCTCAGAGGACGGCCTAGTCACTGGAGCTAGATGACCAATGCCACTGTTCGAGTGCTTCAGCCTCTGTCAGAAATTTTCCCTGCCCCCTGTCCTCACCAACACACCAGTTCTGGTCCCCTTCCCTCTAGGGTGGCTTGGGACCATCCCCTGAGGTCTGAAGGTCTGGGTAGAATGGCAGGGCGGGGGGCGGGGGGGCGGCGGGCTGGAAAAACAGGGAAACGTGATTCCAGAAAGCTGCTGGATATTGGAAGAGCTACAAGCCGAGAGTTCCTTCAGACCTGAGAAACAGGCTGAAGCTGAACTCCCTTCTCATCTTCACATCTGGAACATTGTCCATCTTTCCATGCCTGTTTTCCAGGCAAACAATGACATCTTGGCTTTCCTGTCTGGGATGCCAGTGACCCGAAACACCAAGTACCTCGACCTCAAGAACTCGGTGAGTGGGAAGTCTCCTCCTCTCTCCAGTGCCCCTCCCTGCCACCTCCCCACAAACACATGGTGAGCGACCCCACCACTCCTGCTCAGCAGTCCTTCGAGTCTCTTCTAAGATCAGGTCCTCAAGAGCCCTCACATCATGCTGTTTCTGTAAGCAGGGCCCTGAATCTCTTAGCCAAGCTCCAAAACACTTGACCCTGGCTTCTGGAGATTGTCGGGTGCCTCATGGGGATGAGCTGTGACATTCCTATGGCTGCCGCCCTCATGATAGACACTGGAGTGTGACATTGCCGTTGAAAAGCCTTTTTAGATGTAGAAACTTTCCTCAAGCACCTTCGGTAGAAAGCCCATGTGTTACAGGGAAAGTGGGTCTCATGGTAGGAAGGCCCAGGCCAGGCCAGCATGGCTGAGGGTAGAACCACAGCTGGCAGCAGGTAATAGTCAGCCTGGCCCAGAGAAAACAAACTAATTTAGGTACATCCCTGCTTAATAGCCCCTCTCTCTATGATCTGGAGCAAGCCTGGCACCCTCAAAGCCCTCAGGACAGACGTAACATGCGCCACGCACACCTTTCACCCAGAGCCGGAGGAAGAAGAAGTGACCTATCTTAAATCCAGCCCAGCAAGGTGCTGGGAACTGGATGCCAATCAAGACAGGTCTGGAGAGGTTTCGGCCCTTGGAGATCTGTGTCTTTAGAAGAGCCCCAGGCGACTGTCTCCCCAAAGCAGACGTCATTTCATTTCACCAATCACATAGATACATAGCCAGTGCCCCTAGCCAGCTGCCTGCCACTCACTAGGACCTCACCTGGGTGGCTCTTACTGTCCCTGGGGGGAGGTGCAGAGTGTGCACCTGCCACCTGGCAGAGGCTGCCAGCGCCCCGCCTCCCTGTCCTGTCACCCAGGGTAATTGCCTCTGCAGCTACTGACTCCTTCCTGAGTTCCTGAAGAGCAGGCAGAGGGTGCTGATTGAGGCCTACCTGTTTCACTTCACAAGATGACTAATCACCCTCCTTAACTTTTACAAGGTGACTAATTCCCTCTAAGTGCCTCAGTCCTGGTGCCTAGGGGCTGGGGACTGACTGACAGGCTTTGCTGGGACAGTGCCATCCTGCCTATGGACGGCTTGTAGCTCTGATACAAACCATCTAGAGCAGCTGCTGGGCGCCTTCTCTAGCGTGATCCCAATCTCAGGGAGACAGCTCCCCAGCCTCAGGAACCTGGGACTCCATGAGTCAAGCCTGAGAAGACTGGAAAGCCAGAGACATTTGGTGATGGGTTTCCATGCCCAGCATGGCTCATCTGGTTTCTCATAGCCACACACCCAGAGCTGCAGTCCCCAAGGCTTTACTGGGTTAAATCTCCCAGGGCCTGATGCTGAGGTGGGGCACTCACACCCCATACCCCCTTCTTTCTTGTAGAAACAAGCTTATGCTCTGAGTGGTTTTCTGTCCCCTAATCATGAATTCTGAGACTGTAGTGATAGGATAGGTCTCATGAGTGTGCTGGCCTGGGTACAGAGAGAGAATTGGGCAAATATAATCAGTGTCTGAAGGGGCTGTCCCTTCCTCACCTTGGGGCCCAGCAGCTGTCCCCCCCCCTGGAGGAGGTAGGCAGGCTCCCCTCAGGGACTGGTGGTGGCTGAGGTAGCATGGAGGACTGGCGGAGGTCACCGCCCTCTGCGTCCTGTCTTCCAGCATGAGATGCTACGCTACAAAGAAGTCTGCTACTACATGCTTTTTGCCCTGGCTGCCTATGGCTGGCCCATGTACCTGATGAGGAAGCCCACCTGTGGCCTCTGCCAGCTGGCTCGGTCCTGCTCGTGAGTACTCAGCCAGTACCCAGCCACATCAGCATAGGGTGGAGGGAGGGGATGCAATGATGACCTGGTGCTCCCTTCCCCCTAGGGCTTCAAAACTGCTGTCCTGCTCCCACCTCCTCTGGGTCCAAGCAGCATCTCTCCCATACTGTCACAGGGCCATTGCCTTTTCCCTTGCTTCCTCCCTGGACTGGAATTACACAGTTCATGGTTTGAATGCAGGGTTTGAATGTGCCTCTCAATTGCTACCTTGGACAAGCCAGTGCATGCCTGTGAGCCTCAGTTTCTACATCTGTGAAATGGGATGTTTATGCATCTGTGTTTGAGATGCGATACTGTAGCATCTACACTGCTGATTTTCTTCTCTTCTTTGGGCTCTCCTCTGCCCCCTACAGCCATTCCATTCTGCCCACATCTCCCTTCTCTTGGCTCCCCTCCTGTGTTCTGCCTTTTTAGAAGAAAGAACTTTCTTAGGAAGTAAGCCCACTCCTTTGAGGTCTCTAGAAATGCGCCAAGAAGGCACTTTGGTACAAGGCTCTGAGCAGAGAGAGAAAGGTCTGGACCCAGATCTGACCTGTCACCCTCAGCCCTGCCCCTGTGACAGAGGGTGGAGCTCTATGCTTCTAAGTGGGCCAGAGAAGGGCTTTGGAAGGGCCCTGTCCTTCTGTAGTGTCTCCGCCCTCAGTCCATGACAGGCAAAAAGAAGCAGGACAGTTCCCTGGGCTCCTGTTCCAGAAAAGCTGACCTGCTGGGCCAGTGCCTCTGTCCTCCATGCCCCCTCCCGGGGGACAGCAGCATCCATGCCTGCTCCACCTAGAGAAAGTTGCTGGCTCTTGGAACCTTGTTCTCACTACCCCAGCAGCTGATCAGAGAGGATCAGGTCATTGCCTGCTCCACCCATCTCTACCATATGTACACACCTGGCACTTCCCCCTGCGTTCCTGGGACGTTTAGTCTGGATGGAAAGGCTCTCAAGATAGGCACTGGGCCAGGAACACCTAGACCTGTGCTTAGATAGCCCTGTTCCCCTTTCCAGGGGCCTGTTTCCCTGGGTCTAGCAGGTGCTATCAGCCTACGGGACAGTTCCGAATCAGAGCCACAGTGGGGCTCTGAGTGCTTTGGGGACAGTGGGAATATCAGCACCTGCATAAGCCAGAATTGTAATGGCCAAGGACACAGCCCTCAGCCTTGGCGGAGCACAAGGCTGATCCCCTCGTGGAAGAATGTGCTTAGGGTGGCATGGAGACAAAGAGCCAAGGCATGGAGATAATTGGAGAGAGATGGCTGGGCACTCTTCTTAGCGTCTGCTGTCTGCCTGCTGCTTGTCACATCCACCAGCTCTCAGATCCCGAAGATCGGTTGTCTGCCTCAGCGGGTGACACACTGCCACATTGTAAGAGTGGAGAGTGGAGCAGTCAGGGCGTGGCATAGGGGACAGGCTGGGGACTAGTAGCTTTGGGAAGCAGCAGTCAGTGCTGGCTCTGACAGGAGGAAGCTGAGGCTTAGTTGGACTATGGCTGCACAATCACAACATGACATACCAGGAAGGATTTGAACCCAAGTCCTGCCTCTCCCCTACCTCATTAGAACCTTCTGCTCAGCTGAGAGAAGAGGGGAGCTTCCCGAAGGCTTGAAGGTAGGAGCTCAGACCTGGAACCAAGCCTGCCACCGCTTGACCTGCTGGTGGCTTCTGCAGGCTCAGTTCTGGGATGAGTGTCCTGTGTATTATATCCTGTGTATGGGGCAGTCTCTGCTCCCACGCTCAGGCGTTTCCAAGGTCTTGGCTTGACTCTGGGGTTTCTTGATGAGGCCTCTCCCTATTGGGAAGTCACAGTCCCACAGGCACTGCTCTGAGAAGACAAACACCTCACACTGAATGTCAAGACAGCCGGCAGGCCTGTCACTCTTGCTCCCAGCTCCAATCTGTTGGGTGCTGGCTCCCTCTGGTGGCTTGAGAAGCAGATGCATTTTCCTCCAACCCCTCCCCCCCAACTCTCACTTCCCAGCAGTGACCAATTCTGCCCTGGCTCATCTACCCTGGGGAGCCTCCTGTATGCCTAACAGGCTTGGTGCTGGGGGAAACATCTGGGACTGGCACAGAGCAGACCCTGCCCTGTATAGCTCCTGCCACAACAGTATACAGATGAGGGGCGGAGCACATGAGGCAGGTCAGAGCACATGGATGCTTTGGAGGGGCATAGCTAAGGGCTGAAGCAGGGGGTCAGGTCAGGACTGGCCCTGTCAGAGAGGTAGCTGGGGAAGACCTCACTGAAGGATCACATTTGGATGGAGACTAAAGGATATGGGGAGGGGGTTAACCTGCATGGACTCTGGTGAGGGAGCTAATCAGGCAGAGGAAGGAAAGGCAAGAGCGGTGTAGATGAGGGGAGTGCTTGGAGGTCAGTGAGATGCGGCAGAACCAAAAGGACTCAGACCTTTGCGCTGGAAAGGAAGGCATCGCTGTGGGATTCTATGAGGCAACCTCATAGTGGCTTGATGTATGTTCAAAGGGTCCCTCCCTGTGCTACTGAGTTGGTAGTGCAGGGGCAAGGGTGGAGGGACAGCGGGTAGGTTGGCTTTTAAATGTGAAGACAAAGTGGACTGGTGTGGGTTGACTGGGAGGAGCTGGTATAGTCAGGGAGTAGGCTGGGTTCCCAGAGGGCTGTCAATACAGCTAAGGGAAGATTCCATGTAGAAGTTCAGTAAGGTGCTTTTGGAGGTCTGCACTGGATCTACTTGGCTCCCAAGAGAACTTGTGACAAACACATGAAGTAGGTTGCTACAGGGGAGGGAGGTTCAGGCTAGACCTAGGACCTTGGAAGTAGAGGACAAGCTGTAGAGAAGGCTCAGTCTGGGAAGAAAGAATAGCGGTGAGGTGTTCAGTCAAGTGGGGACAATTCGTGGGTCATGTTCAGCCTGGAGACCATGTGATGTGCTGGTCCATGGTTTGACCACACAGAGGTCACCAGGGCTTAGCAAGGAGACAGAGACAGGGTGGGGCTGAAGCTACTCCAGAGAGGATGAAAAGAGAAAACCCTGAGCTCTCTGCCACTTCGCCCTAGGTGCTGTCTCTGCCCTGCACGACCCCGATTCGCCCCCGGGGTCACCATTGAGGAAGACAACTGTTGTGGCTGTAACGCAATCGCCATCCGCCGTCACTTCCTGGATGAGAACATGACTGCAGTAGACATTGTCTACACCTCCTGTCATGATGCGGTGAGGGACCAGGCTGGGGACAGGCAGAGCTGAGTTCTTCTGGAGGCTACTGGGGATCCAGGCCACCAAAGCAATTCCTCAGGCCAGTGGAGACATCTGTAGTTTCCAAATAATTTCCAGTGTGTACTCCAGAGATGGCCTCCTCCATTTTGGTGCCTGATACCCACACTGCCCCAAGCTAGGTGGGAAAATGGATGCCAATCTCATTCAGTGTTAGGGCTCCAGGCCCAGCCTTACGGAAATGGAAGAAACAGGAGGCGGTGGGGAAAAACAGTGAACCATTTGGACTGAGCATAGGGCTGCCTGAGGCAGGGTGCAATGGGAAGGCTGGGACTAAAGAATCCTCAGTGACCTCCAGGAACCTTGCCTTTGGCAGGTGTTAGGGACCCAGGGGCCCGTGGGGAGTTTTATTGACATCCCTAAGTCTGGCCTTATTCCGAGTTGCGTAGGCTCACAACCTGGTACTCCTAGGTCTATGAAACTCCCTTCTACGTAGCAGTAGACCATGACAAGAAGAAAGTGGTGATCAGTATCCGGGGAACCCTGTCCCCCAAGGTAAGCTGACCATTGCTCCCCCACAGGCCCTGGCCTGTCCTCCTCAGCTACCCCTTACCTGCCTTTTTTCTTTTCCCCAGGATGCCCTGACCGACCTGACAGGTGATGCTGAGCGCCTCCCTGTGGAGGGACACCGAGGCACCTGGTTGGGCCACAAGGTATCCACCTCAACACCCTGAGGTCCCCTCACCTTTGCCACCCTCCACCTGGCGGGGGCTCAACCAGAAGGGTGTGGTTAGTCTGCCTGCCCACTAAGGCTTGAGGGATCCCTGGCTGTCCCTAGAAGCATCTGGGCAGGCAGCTGGGGACATGTCACACCTGTTTCTATCAGGTGGACTTACTTCCTCTGATCCTCCATTTTCTATGGAGTGGAAAATGCAATTGAAAATGGAGACAAGTACCCACCAGCCCTTACAGTCTGTTGTTGAGGGATAGAAGGGGTGCTTGCTGAGATCACCAGCTGTGCTGGTACCTGAGGCTTCCCACAAGCCCTGCTCTGTTCCTCCCACCCAGGGCATGGTACTTTCGGCTGAGTACATCAAGAAGAAGCTGGAGCAGGAGATGGTCCTGTCTCAGGCCTTTGGGCGAGACCTGGTGAGGAGTTTTCCGTGACATCCCATCCTGGAGAGGAGGGGTGAATAATGGTACCCCCTTCCCCAAACACTAGCTCCTGTCCCTCCCTTCCTTCTACATCCCCAGCTCCTAGCTGGCTCCATCCCACCCCACCTGACCTCCCAGGCCATCTCCTCTCAAAGTGTCCTGATACCAAATGTGTACTCTGCCAGCCTCGTAGTCAGGACCACTGACTTGTTGCAAGATGCATAACAGACTAGTGATAAAAAAAACAGCTACAACTAGGGAAAGGCTGCACCTGAGCTGGACAGCAGCCTGAGTCAGCCCAGCCTCTTCTCTCTGCACAGGTAGCTCCAATGGATGCTGCCAGCCCCCATTCCCAGGTCTTAGAGATTCGGGCTAGTGGTTAGGGTAGAGAGATGAGGACAGTTAACCAAATGATTATAAGTGTAATCACCAGAATGGTCATAGGGAAATTACAGTTCCTAAAAGGGAGGGAGCTCTTTCTGGAAAATCAGGGAGGCTTCCTCAAGGAGGGAATTTCTGAGCAAGGCTTTAGAGGATGAGTAGAAGTTTGTGAAAGCAGTCTCACTAAGTCTTTGCCCTTTGAGGACCTAGCTTGGTTCTCCCTCAGCCCTAGCACCCTTGCAGGACAGTATGATCCCAGGACTCTGAGAAGAGCCCTCAGTGTCAGCTGGGAAACTGAGGCAGGGCTCTCAGATATCTCTTGGTCCCCAGGGCCGTGGAACCAAACACTATGGCCTGATTGTAGTAGGCCACTCTTTGGGCGCTGGCACAGCTGCCATCCTGTCCTTCCTCCTGCGTCCCCAGTACCCAACCCTCAAGTGCTTCGCCTACTCCCCGCCAGGAGGCCTGCTGAGGTAAGCAGCTTGCAGCCTCAGAGCTGGCTGGAGCAACTGGGACATTTGAAAGCCAAAGGCTGGATGGGACTGGGAGCTGGTGGCTGGACTGGGCAGCCCAGCTTCTGATGACGGGACACCTGGGAATGGCATAGGACATGACTGTGGTAGTGGGTTGGGGGCTTTCTAACATGCCAAGTGGACCTCTCCCAAGGCCTTGTGGTAAAACATAGTCAGGAAGGGCAAAAATAGAAGCTCAGCCTGGCACTATGAGCTTCCTGAGAAGCTGCAGCCCAGGTGCAGAATGGGACCACTTCTACCAAGGCCCTGCTCTGGGCCTGAGCCCCTTCCCTTGACCTGTCTTTAGTGAGGATGCCATGGAATACTCCAAAGAGTTTGTGACTGCTGTGGTTCTGGGCAAAGACCTTGTTCCCAGGTAAGTCCACCTCTCTTGCTATGTCCCCTAGCAAGAGCTCACCCCACTCCTCAGTGCTCACATCTCTCAAGGCCCCCTCACCCTCTTCCTAAGCACTCTAAGCACCCCTTCCCACTCTTAGTGGCCCTGTGGTGCGAAGACAGAGCCAGTGTAGGTGCTATACATTCCCGAGTGGCCTCTCTGACCTGCACAGCATGATCCAGGTGGTCTTGTCTTCTTGTTCCTGGGGAGCCAGGTGTTCCCACCACCCCCTTTTCCTCATGTCTCCTGGCCCATGACTGCCCCAAGCTGATGCTCATCGCCTTCCACAGGATTGGCCTTTCCCAGCTGGAGGGTTTCCGTCGGCAACTTCTGGATGTCCTGCAGCGAAGCACCAAGCCCAAAGTGAGCTCCCATTGGCTCCCTGACCATGGGGGGTCCTGTCTGTCCCCTACTGATCCCAGGGACAAAGTGCAAGAGGCCACAGCTGTGTTATGGATGATTCAGGCTGTCAGACCCTCAGTGTCCAAGCTCAGCCTATCCAGCCCCTGCCATTGTAAGGAGACTGAGGCACAGTGTGGGAGAGCCTTTGTGCACATGCTAAGCTGTCATGGGGTCATAACTGGAGATAAGGTGCTTCTCCCACATGGAGCTAATGTGAAAAAGGTGATCCCTGAGGTGTGGTGCTTTGAGTGGACAGAGAAGGACCTGTTGAGGTGTCCCAGGCTTGAGGAAGGCTGCTGCCCCATGTGTTCAGCTTATTCTGCTGGGGCCAGGAGAGAGCCAACTTGTTCTAACATGTACCAGATCTTGGAAGACCTTGGGGGCCCTTTCTATGCAGAGACCTTCATTGTCAGGCAGGTGGGGTGAGGCAAAGTTTTGTGGTCAAGCATCCTGTGGTAGGCCAAAAGTAGGAGTCCCTCTGTGGCTAGTCTGTGAGATAGCTGCCCACCCCGAGTTGGACCCTTACTGTCTTTCTACTGCCTGTCTGCATTTTTCCTAGCCTTGATGACCATAACCCTCTGTCAGAAGGGACCCTGGGTCAGGTGTCAGGCCATGGGTCACCACAGCTCTAAGAGACTGTCTCCCTGAAAGCCTAGTCCTTGGAAACAGCATCTGCTTCTCACAGGGCCAAGCCCAGGCATTCATCAGATCCAGGACCTAACTCAGCCGGTCCAGATGGGTCCTCTTAAGGCCTCTCCTACCTCTGCCTTGCACAGTGACCCAGAGTAGTTCCATCCCCTCACCGGGTGTGTTTCCTACCCACTAGATGAGGGCTTGACTAGTCTTCTAGGTCCTTGCCAGCTCTGAAATGCAACAATTTTGTGTCGTCTGTCCTTGGCATCTTATTGGCCACCTGGCTACCATACACATCAGCCACTGCCTCTTCAGGTGGGCACAAACCTTTAATGCTCCAGCCACTGCCCCCATCTCCAGCCCACTCCTCTCACCTGTTGAACCCTTCCTTGCAAGCACCCCCCTCCCCAATCCTATCCACCCAGCCAGAGCTGCTCAATTCTGTTCCCTTCTCTCCCTGGCCCTATACAGTGGCGGATCATCGTGGGGGCCACCAAATGCATCCCCAAGTCAGAGCTGCCTGAGGATCAAGTAGAGGTGACCACCCTGGCCAGCACACGGCTCTGGACCCACCCCAGTGATTTAACCATCGCCCTTTCAGCTAGCACCCCACTCTACCCACCTGGCCGCATCATCCACGTGGTCCATAACCATCCTGCAGAACAGTGCTGGTAGGTACTGATGGAAGTCCGGGCCACTCCTGTAGGTATGGGTCCAGGGAAGGAGCTGCTCAGGGCCGGACCAGCCTCTGCTGAGTTAACCACTGACAACTGGGGCAGAGGTAGAGACCATAGTCCAGGACCCAGCTGCCAGCCATGGAGAGAAAACCAAAGACCCAGTCCCCAGCTGTCCCCAGAAGGGCTCTGTGGTACACTGTGTATGCCTGAAGGAGCCTAGTTCTTGGATGCAGCTTCTGCCCCTCACACTGCCAGGCCCCGACATTCATCAGCTCCAGAAGCAGATGTCAGGGACCTGACCCAAAGGTGTCCAGGCCTGGCAGGTCCAGCTGGGTCAAACTGAGGCCTGTCCCACCTCTGACTTTGCACCCCACTGTCAGCCCTTCGCTGGTGTTTCCCAAAGCAGTTCTCCCTGTTCTTGGTGCATTTAGGAGTAGATAACCTGTTGTAGCCATCTGGCCCTGGGCCAGCTCGCCTAGTGTCCTTGGGTTATACCCAAGAGCAAGAACAGTGTGCTAGAAGGTAGCCCTTCCTTGCTTAATATGCTGAGAGCCTTGGACCCTGGGCTGTCTTTCTTAATGCAGGCTGCCCCTCCTGACAGAAAGCTGGGGAGCTGAGCCTTGCCCAGGGGTGGCAGATGTAGCCTAGACTAAAAGCAGATGGGAGGCCTTGCAGGGACTGCAACTAAGGCTCTAGGTCAGCCTTTCATAGGCTTCAGGCAAAATAGCCAGGCCTGGGAACATGAACCTACTGCCTAGGGTAGATGGGGACCCCCCAGATCACCTATAGATCCCTCAGCAAGTGCGCAGAGCAGAACTCTCTGACTCCCTTCTCCCTACCCGTGTCCCCCTCAGCTGCTGTGAGCAGGAGGAGCCCACGTACTTCGCCATCTGGGGAGACAACAAAGCCTTTAATGAGGTGATCATCTCGCCAGCCATGCTCCATGAGCACCTGCCCTATGTGGTCATGGAGGGGCTCAACAAGGTGAGTGCAGGTAGGGCCCTTCTGAGAGACAGGGGCCTGAGGCTCAGACGCTAAGCAGCCACAGTCCTGAGCTGGGCCCTGGGAGTCAGAAAGACTCTGTACATGACATGCTGCTCCATGGCAGGAAGGGTGGAATTCAGAAGATTCTTAGGAGCCGATCCCTGAGAAAGGCTGAACTGAGAGGCCCTAGAGGCCAGCTGGCCACTGCCAGATATGTAGTCAAGTGGGCCACTACCTTCCTGGGCCACTGAAGGACAGAAAAGAGTGCTCCAATGGCAAGTCCCCGGCCTTCCACAAGGAAAGGGGACCCACTGAACCGTCAGGCAGTTTACTCTAGGAGGCTACAGGGCTGGGCTGGCTACCTTCTCCCACCAGGCCCCTCCCTCCTGCCCCCAGGTGCTGGAGAATTACAACAAGGGAAAGACAGCACTGCTCTCGGCGGCCAAGGTCATGGTGAGCCCCACTGAGGTGGACCTCACTCCTGAGCTCATCTTCCAGCAGCAGCCACTGCCCACGGGGCCACCGCTGCCCACCGGCCTGGCCCTGGAGCTGCCTGCCGCAGACCATCGCAACAGCAGCGTCAGGTGAGTCTCATGTCCCCACTCCACCCCAAGGGAGCTCGGGTGCAGAGCCTGCAGAGGTGTTCCGTGTGCCTGTCAGGGCCCAAGCACATTCCCAAAGCTGTGTCCGTGAGCTCAGTGTGGGAGTCTAGCTCTGCTCAGGGTCTCGCTCTTCTGTAGCTGTCTCCCACCTTGTCACCAACATCTCGGGATTTCCCAGGTAGGATAAGAAGTTTCAAAGCACACACAGACCTACACACACCAGACCCAAACACCAATGTTCCCATTCCCACTTAGATCCAAACAGATGTTACACCGTGGTACTTACACAACTGTGCATCTCTATTGAGGCTTATGACAATATTGAGGCTTATGACAAACTTTACTCATGACTACACAGAAAACTGTCCACATAGGACACACAGCAAGGCGAGCAGAACACACACTTGGACAGGTGGTCATGCAAATGAATGGCTGCACCTGTGATAGCTCCACAGCACACAGGTGCATGTGGTCCACCTGCACACGGGTACCAAGGCATACACATACACTCACAGATGTGCACACACAGCATCCCAGGTTCTAGAGTGATGGTTCTCCCAGGGGAAGGTTGTTCTGCCTTCCTGGGACCCTGACTCCCAGGCCCTACATTATTGCTTCTAAATCTGGCTGCTGAGAAGTAGGAGGTGGTGTCACTGCTTGGCGGGGACCCCCTTGACACTTCTCCTTGTGTGTTTCCTGTGGTGGCCACTTGTATCCTGAAGAACCCAATGTCTGCCCTTAGCCACTGTGCATGAAGCAACCACCCATTTCCCAGCTCCCCCTTCCTTTCCAACAGAGCAAGGGGCTCCAGAGCTTGCTGCTCCTGTCCAGCATGGGGCTACCTCATGTGACATGTGGGAGAACCCTGGGATCAAGAAAGGATAGACAAGGCACTTGAAGATGCTGGCCTGAGCTTAGGGAGCAGAATCCCTCTTACCTTCTTCCCTGATCTCTTTCCTTCCCTGTCTCTCTGTCCTTCCCTCTGCTTCCCTCTGCGTCTCCCATTCACTGTGGCCTCATGAGTGAGCCACAGCAGCCAATCTCTTGATGCCTAAATCTCTTTTTAGTATCATGATAGATATGGATGCACAGGACCCAGAGTCTTCTGGGAATCTTAATGCCTTTCAGGGACCCCATTTCTATCTACCTAGTGTCAGCTTTTTTGTTTTCTATCTGCGCTTCTTATGAGTCGGTTTTACTTCATTTTATTTTAGATATATTTTATTATTTGTCTGCATGTATGAATCTATGTGAGTGTCTGTTACACATATGGTGTGGGTGCTCATATAGGCCAGAAGAGGGCATTGAGTCCCCTGGAGCTGGAATTACTGGGGGTTATGAGCTGCCTGACGTGGATGGTAGATCTCAACTCCTGTCCACATGATTGTGCAGGAAGCACTGGAACCTCTGGACTGTATGAATTGGTTTTTATTTTCATTTCTTTTTAAATTTATTTTTTATGTGTATGGGTGTTTTGCCTACCTGTGTGCCTGTATTCTTTGTACATGCTTGGTGCCCTTGGAGGTCAGAGGAGGATGTTGGATCTCCTGGAACTAGAGTTACAGATGGTTGTGGGTGCTGGGAATCAAACTCAGGTCCCCTGGAAGGACAGCCGGTGCTTTTTACAGCACTGAGCCATCTCTCCAGACTGAGTTGGTTTTCAAAAGTCAGGGTTTCCCTTCTAGCCTGGAGAATAGGGGCCAATCTCCTTTACTCTCCTGAGTCTTATCCTTTTCTTGCACTCTTTCTCTGTAGGAGCAAGTCTCAGTCTGAGATGAGCCTGGAGGGCTTCTCTGAGGGGCGGCTGCTGTCCCCAGTGGCTGCTGCATCAGCAGCCCGCCAAGACCCTGTAGAACTGTTACTGCTGTCCACCCAGGAGCGGCTGGCGGCAGAGCTGCAGTCCCGGCGGGCACCGCTGGCCACCATGGAGAGCCTCTCAGACACTGAGTCACTGTACAGCTTCGACTCGCGCCGCTCCTCAGGCTTCCGCAGCATCCGAGGCTCACCCAGCCTCCACGCAGTGCTGGAGCGTGATGAGGGGCACCTCTTTTACATCGACCCGGCCATTCCAGAGGAGAACCCGTCCCTCAGTTCACGCACAGAGCTGCTAGCAGCCGACAGCCTGTCCAAGCACTCGCAGGACACCCAACCCCTGGAGGCAGCTCTGGGCAGCGGGGGTGTCACTCCTGAGCGGCCACCAAGTGCAACCAATGAGGAAGAAGAGGAGGCAGCAGGTGGCGAGAGTGGTGGGGTGGCCCCACGAGGAGAGCTGGCACTGCACAACGGGCGCCTGGGGGACTCGCCCAGCCCTCAGGTGCTAGAATTTGCCGAGTTCATCGACAGCCTCTTCAACCTGGACAGCAAGAGCAGCTCCTTCCAGGACCTCTACTGCATGGTGGTGCCCGAGAGCCCCACTAGTGACTATGCTGAAGGCCCCAAGTCCCCTAGCCAACAGGAAATCTTGCTCCGGGCTCAATTTGAGCCCAATCTGGTACCCAAGCCCCCAAGGCTCTTTACAGGTTCTGCTGAACCCTCCTCTGGCATCTCACTCTCACCCTCCTTCCCACTCAGCTCCTCAGGGGAGCTCATGGACCTGACACCCACGGGCCTCAGCAGCCAGGAGTGTCTGGCCACAGACAAGATCCGGACTTCCACCCCAACAGGCCACAGGGCCAGCCCTACCAAGCAGGATGACCTGGTCATCTCAGCACGCTAGCACCTGGCAGTGGCTGCCAGCTCCTCCCTACCAGAACTCAAGACCCCGTGGGTACCTAATGCCACTCGGGCCCCAGTAGCTTTGAGGAGAGCCTCCCAGAGGCCAAGTGGTCTCAGGCCCTGGAGCACTGCTGCTGAGCAGGGGGTCTGCATCCCTACCTCAGCCTAGGACCCCCAGAACCAAGATGTCTGGGAAAAGCAGGGGTGGCTTTGGTATAGGGAGGAGCTTCCAGGTTGGCTGGTCAATCCTCAGCCCTCAGCCTGTGACTCCTCTGTGTGGGCAGCCTGGTATCTCTGTTCTGGGAATGGCACTAGGCAAGCTAGCTTCCTGTCACTGCCCTCCAGCTACTCTCCCAGAGCCGAGGCAGAAAGCAGCCCCCTCTCCACATCTTCTCATATGTCATTCAAGTTGGCACCCGCCCTGGCCACTATCCCCCAGATCTGGTGCCTGCTGGCCAGCCCCCTGGGGTGACCCCCACCAAGGTGGCCCACAGTGCTGTATATGTTTACAGAATCTGCTGGGCTTGGCTCAGGTTGTATCCTGGGCTCACAAGCCCCCATTCCCAATCATGTGTTTAATTGTCCCCTCTATATGGGACTTGAAGACCAGTGGGGCCCGAAGGAGGGTGGGGTCAGGGCCGCCCCTTCTCTGCCTGGTGCCCCTTATCTTCTTGGGTCCTGGCCCCTGGCCCTGCCTGCCTACCTGCCACTCCCTGGCTTCCTGGCTCACCTTCTACCCCCAGGACTCTGGCCATTCAAAGGGTGGTGGACATTCCTGTGACATCACCCCTGGCTGCAGAGTCAGAGCCCTGGGAAGAAAGAAGGCATCCCAAGCCCTGTCTCCTTGGTGTCCCGCCTGACCCCTTTATGTCACCCCACCATGCCTAGGCAGCTCTGGGCCCTGGGGTCTGAAACCAAACATGCCTCTGCCCACTTGTTCTCCTGGCTACTTAGCTCCTTTCTGGGTCTGGGCTCCACCTCCTACTGTGTCCTGATCATAAGAAGAGGGGCCGAGAGTAGAGTGTTGTGGGACCAGGCTGGAAACCCCTGCCTACTGCCAAGGAGAGGGGCCAAGGACTCAGGGGCTGTCCCAGGTTAGCCTGAGGCCTTCATAGGTTTTCCTATGGTTTGGAGAAGCAGGCCAGGAGGTAGGAACCCAGCCCTTTCCCCAGGCTGGGGGTCTAGGGGAGGTTGTGCATGGTAGTGTCAGTTGTTTTTGTGTGTGCACGTGCATGTATGTGCACCACTCCTGAGGAAAGGGGCTGCAGAGGGCTGCCCGCCCTCCCCACCTTGCCTGCCTCCTGCTCCTCCTAACCTGCCCATGAAGTAAAGCTTTGGGACAAGCCAGTCACTGGGATGTGCAGGCAAGCAGCTGCCCACCCTTGTGCCCTTGTCTCCTTGGAAGCATGGTCCCTTCCACCCTAGCCCCACTCACAGCCTCTCTGGGCTACCTAGGCTCCCCTGACCACCTCATGATCACCGGTACCTGGGCCTGAGCCCCAACTCTAACCCCCACAACTGGGGTGGCCTGGATAGCTATCCACTCTAACAGATGAGGAAACCTGGGGGCTGGGCCTCTCCCTTACTCTGTGACTCCCCCCTCAACAGACTCCTGGTCACTCTGCCTCCTGCCAAGGCACTGCCTCAGCCTAGCACAGAAGTAAGATAAAAATCAGTGATTTTTAAAATTCAAATCTTAGACAAACAACAACAACAACAAAAAAACCCTTAAATCAGACGAATAATCCAGTGAGCAACCCAGCTTGCAGCAAGGAGAGTTGTGGATCTGGCCTTCTAATTCTTCCTCTGCCAGGGTAGGTCTAGGGGTCCCCTCTAGGGTGTGCCCTTATGCCCAGGACTGAGCCATCAGGGACATAACCCCCACCCCCAAGGCTGCAGCCATACTGTGTTACAGGCTTGGGGCTGGGGCAGGCTTGGACTCAGCCCTAGACACCCAGGGCCAGCCCACCCCTCCCGTTCCCTCCTTGCCTGACCCTAGAAGGGTGGGCCTGCTGCACGTCCCCTTCACTCCATGCCACATATGGGGGGTCTGAGCCACCCCCTTTATCCCAGTTCAGATTGACCCCCACAATGTCCCCCAGACCCGCAGCACAAGCTCCCCCAGCCGTGAGCTGGCCTGTCCTCCCAGGGATCTGGGTGGCCTCCATATGCAACTAGTAGCAAACAGCCAGGCCCCCATAAACCCTCTGCACTCCATGTGCCATTCTCCCATGACTTTTTTTGTACTTAATGTATGAAAGATCCACACTAATATTGCTGTAAAAAGGAGAGACAAATTAATATAGCTTATTCTATAAATATATCTGTATATAAAGTTTTCTGTATATTGTATAGAGCTGTGTATAAACTGGATGTAGAAGCACACCTCTGCCTCATGTGGTCTTTTTTATCAGGTGGGGATGGAGGCAGGATAGGGACCTGGCCGCCAAGGTCACAAAAGGGTAAGGGAATGAGGACCTCTGAGACCATTTCCTAGATGAGCCAGAAAGCATAAGGGGAAACCTTGAGGACCCTTGGGATCAAGACTTTTGTGCCCCCAAAGACAGAAGGCATGTACAGCTGTGTAAGAACACCCTGTGGGTTAGAACTGTGTGGCTCAACCTTGGCACCAGTTCCCATGCTCTTGTTAAAATGTGAATGCTAGCAAGATGAATTAGGAGGTAAGTCAAGGCACTTGTCACTAAGCTGGAACACCTGAGTTTGCTGCCCAGAAATCATATGGTCGGTGAGAAGTGACTCCCATGAAACTGCCCTTTGACCCTCACACAACATGCACTGTGGTACATGCACCACCTCCCCACGGGGAAATACGTAAACATAATAAAATTGAAAAATAAAGCACAGATGTGGTTCACTGGCTTAGGGAGGGCCCTTCACTTTTCACTTTTCATGTGTCAGTATCCAGGCCCCAAAAAGCAATGAGGTACATCAAGCGTCCAGAAGTCCCCTCAGCCACTTGCTGAGTCCTGCCCATGTGAGATGTTCTGGGGGAGGGCTTGTGTCCATCACAAGTGCCCTTGAAGCATGGGAGCTCCTTTTCCCTCCTGGAGAGCTCTGAGACCTAAGGGTAGGTGACCTGACCCAGACATGGAACCAGCAATTGGAATACCAGGCTCATTTCATGCCCACCCACCCCTCTGCCTCACACTCATGCTGTGAGCTAGAGCAGGAATGGGAGTAGCACTGCCATTCAGAGGGGTAGCACTGAAGTGTTGAAGCCACAAGAAGCTCTGTGAGGGTTTGTAAACACCTGTGCAGCCACAGAGATCCCAGCCCAGCCTGGATCCGAAACACTGAGGCTGGGGAATGGCAGGAGCACCCAGGAAGACCGGCAATGCTGAGCATCCTGCCAGCCTCAGGCCCTGAATCTTCCACACAGCAGAGGGCGCTGTTTCCCCAACTAGTCTCACTATGCAGCTAAGCCCTGGCTCCAACTTCTTCCCACTCTGACTGCCCCCAAGTCCAGTATGAACCCACTTGATGAGGAGCTAGGGCTCTTGGCCTTGAAGGCTGTCTCCCCCTGACAGCCTCCAAACAGCAGAGGAAACAGCGTGCTCTGGGTCATACAAGAGGTACAGGCAGATGAAGGACCAACTCCAGAGGTTTGTCCTCCTAGCCTAGGACCCTCACCTGGTAGTGGTTTCCACCTTTCACTAGTCTGCAAATGATCCTGGCCCTAATGGAGCAAAATCAGAGCAAATGGCCTGAGAGGTGCTGTGGCTTGCTCAGGGCTGTACAGCAGATGGCAACCAACTCCACAGACGACAAAGTCTGATACAAAGGTATCCCTAGGCTCCTTTACCAGCCCCAGGGACCCCTGCTGTAAGGCAGGCTTGGGTCTCAACCTCTTCATGATGTCTGAGCCTCCTCCTTCACCCTAGGCCAGACATGAGAAGCCCTGGGGCTTGGCTGTTCTTTTGCTCTGTGGCCTAGTGGAATGGGGAATAAGGGGAAGGGCAGGGCTTGAGTGCCCCAAGTTAGGCCAGCTCTCATGAGATTCAAATGGGCCTGCATCCTGCCTGGTCTAACTTCAGGGCTAGCATGGATTTGAGCGAGGCCATCATCTTGATAATGTGGTGGGTCTTCCATCCTCAGCCCTTGGTGACCTGACAAGGCCAATACTGAGGTCACCAGCTCCCCCTTAGACAGCAGACATTTAGGCACGGAATTCAGGTGTGGAGTACGGAGGAGAGATCTTTGGGTAGCTGGGGTTTCAAAGGGGATGCTATTTCTCTAGCAGTCCCAGGAAACTCAGGAAATAAGTTCATCTTTGAAAGTTGCATGGCGTGACTGGGTGTTCACTTTGTCAGAACAGGCCTGACCCTGGCTGGAGGAGGGGCCGGAGTGCAAGATAACAATTGTCTTAGGGGAGTCTGCAGAGGAGACAAACCTCTGGGTGCATGAGCTGGAAAAGAATGGGCTGCTCAGTGTGGCCCCCTCCCCCCTCGGTGGGGCCCCCAGGCTGGAAAGAGGGAGCTGTGGTCAGTGCCCACAGCTGGGCCTCCAGCAAAATCCTACTCTATATACCTAAGAGAGGCAGCTCTGAGAACCGCCCCCAGAGGGACAAAACCTCATTGTGAGGCACCCGCCGGGCCTGGGCATCCCCTCCCCCAAGCACTCCTCCGAGGGCCACCACAAGCCTGCTGACTGGGCCACATCTGGAGCTCAGGCTCTGGCTGCCCTTCCCCCATGCTGGCCACTGAGAAGGAGGGAGGCAGGAGGGGCGACAGGAGAGCTCATAGGGTCTCACTAGACTACCTGCAAAGCGGGGCTCATACACTACCTTAGTCTGGGGGACACTGCCAGGAGGAGTCAAAAGTCCTAGGGTGGCCAGGCTAGTATCTTGATTTGCTAGCACATTCTCCCAATCTTCTGGGTTGTTTTTATGGTGTGTGTGTGTGTGTGTGTGTGTGTGTGTGTGTGTGTGTGTGCGCTCGCACTTGCACATGCTCTGTTTTGGGCTGTTTTTATGGTATGTGTGTGTTGTTTTGAGACA